AAAAAAAGTCCGGAATATGGAATGGAGATTTAATTTTGCTAATTTGACTGTCACTTTTGTACCTTGTGCAGAAAGCGGTGTGGGGGCTAATCACACAGAGGTCATGCGGCTGAGGAAAAAGATGAATTCTAATTTCGGAGGCTTTATCCATAATTTTTCGAAAGAGGGGTAGGTTTATACGGTGGCATAATATATGAAAGGGGCCCTGGGTTTTTAAACAAGGTTCGCCTCTATTGTAATTCATAGCAACTTTGAACAAACAGGTTTTGTCACTTCTCGGCAGCGTAATAATGTTAGGAGATGATGAAGGTTTATTTTGTGGAAAGGTAATTCTCTTTTAAGATTTGGTTGTGCTAAAGTTAATCTATCTCTGGTAAACAGGAGATTTTCAAAAAATTTTACCGTTATGATGGAAACGAAATTTGATTACTGGTTCAATTGGTTTTCAAAATATATAACTGAGTTGTAGAGGTTAAATATGGCTTTCAGATACATCGAGGTGTTCGCGGCTTCGTACGGCGAGATGGTACAGTTCTGTGATGAGTACCGCCTGCGTGTACCACGCGGTGTTGGGGGAGGCGGTGGATATGGTGTCATGGCCCGCGGAGGATTCGAAGACTCCTATGGTGGCTTCGGGGCTTTTGGCGGTCGTCCAGGAGGTGGTGATCGTTCGGCGGCAGTTGGACCATGGGAGGATGCTCGTGGAGGCTACGGAAGCTCATCGATGGCTGACCCATACGCAGGATATAGCTCTTCGGCATGGGCTGGAACAGAATCTCGTCGTCCGCCATCTCCTCGCAGCTCATCTTTTGCGGACCCATATGGCAGAGGAAGCCACACTGATCCTTATGGGAGATCCGTATCAGCGGCGGATCCGTATGGGCGCCCCAGTCAGGCTGATGATCCATACATTCGCGGAACTAGAAGACCAGAGGATTTGTTCGCTAGAAGAATAGATCCCTATGAAGGTTTGGGTCGCGGAGCTTCAGATTCTTGGCGTGATGATCGTGCCCCAGGTGGAGGGCCTGCTGCGTATGGCGATTCATGGCAGGAATACGGCTACGGAGGCAGCGGTGCTGGTGGACCGATACGTGTGCGCGACCATTGGCGGGACCACGAAGATTCTCGAGGGGCAGCTGCCGC